AGCTAAACAGTAAAAGTACTGTAAATAAGAAATACATTTACGAAACACTATACACCCTGATATTCAAAACTTATAGAACCATTTTAGGTGCAGTAACTTGAGGTTCTTGTCTGTATGATCTTATCGCTTTCTTGCTTTGCTTTAGAACTGATTCAGGTGTGTTGGAAAACAGATGCATCCAAAAGCTGCAGGACATTTAATACATTTGTTTAAAATAAATGTTGTCTACAGCAACAGAACATTCTCTTTCTAACCTTCATTCTGTAATAATCATTCAACCACAAGCCCTCATCACACGACCCAAGATTGCTGCCAATACAAACAGAACATCACAATTAGAAGTCAAGTGACTGACCCATTCATTGAATGGTTCTTGTTAGCATGCCACATTGCTGATGCCAGATGGGCTCATCTGAGTTTTTAAGAAACCACACACACAACCAAAGCAGTTGGTCGACTGGGCATGGTGGTTGTTCCATATTTTCCTATATTTGCTCCCGGTTTTATAAGCAGATGGGTTGCAGTAGACCACACCTGCTCCTGTCAGCCAAGAACAGGAAAAAAATCAGCTGCAATTTGGACAGGGTCAAAAACAGACAGAAGGAAATTAAGAGAAGAAGGATATGGGAAAGGAAGAAAAAAAAGGGAAGGAAGGAGAGACGTAAGGAATACATAACAAAAGCAGACTTAGTAAAAAGAAACCACATAAAGAAATAATGACAAAAGGAAGGACAATATTTAAACAATAAGTTGTGGAGCGAAGTCTAGAAATGTATACATTTACACACATATTTTGTACCTGATACCTCTAACATGCAGAGACTCAGGACATGTTTTCCCACATATTAGCTGCTGCTGCTGATGCTGCTTACATTGCATAGGTTGAAGGGAAAGTCAAACTAAATACTTGCATGCTCTGTTGAGGTTTTATGTCTAATTACTCAGCAAATCTCCTTCTTGCTGACACTGAGTCATAAAAATGCTGCCAGCTCAGTTTGAGCTGCTGTAACTAAGTGATGTATGGAAGCTGGTGAAGTTGCAAGGCAAAAGTTTCTGGTCCAGTTCTGAAATTAGTCAGAAAGCTTGTTAGAAACAGACTTGACACAGCGGGATTGGATTTAGCTCAGTGGTGCCCTCTGGTGTCTACATAAAAGTACTGCTCTAGTGCAGTATTAAGACTCATTGGCCTTCCTCAGAATATTTGGTAACACTTTATTTGAAGGTGGGTGAATAAGACTGACATGACACTGTCATGAAAACCTGTCATGAACATGAATAAGTCTTCATGAATATTTATGACTGTTGTCATAAAGCGTCATTCGGTAAATTATGACACTTTTAATACAAAGTTGACATTATTCAAAATGCCTTTGTTATGACAACTTGACAGTAACCAAGAAATCATTACTGATATAAATTTTGTATAAAAGTATTACTGATTGCACTTTAAAAATGAGGTAACTTTATGTTATTAAAGGTAAAGTTTAAACAGTAATGATTTCTTGGTTAATGTCAAGTTGTCATATCAAAAACATTTTGAATCATGTCAACTTTGTACCGAAGGACGCTTTATGACAACAGTCATAAATATTCATGAAGGCTTATTCATGTTCATGACATGTGTTATGTCATGTTTATGACAGTGTCATGTCAGTCTTATTCACCCCCCCCTTCAAATAAACTGTTACCGAATATTTCAACATTCCCAAATAGTAAATGACCTGTCAGTTTTGCAGGATGGAGGGTTTATTCAAAAACTTCCATCATAAATGTTTCAACTGGATTGAGATCCTGACTGTTTGTTGGGGAGGATCAGACTCCCCAACAAACAGGCTGTTGAGCCTGTTGAGGATCAGACAGATTCAGTGTCATCATGACAAATGACTTCATCATCAGCAAATCTACTGTGTATTGGTGGAATAAGGCAGTGGAAGACAAACTCCACCAATAGAGATAAACTCCAGACCATCAAACCATGATAACATGCTTGTTGACAGCTGACTGAGAACAATCAACATCATTTTACCTTATGCTGTTGCTTTTCCTTTCTGAAGGGATTTGATCAAGCTTTCCATTTTTTTCAGCAGCTTTCTCATCTGATACATGTCTCCATTCAGTTATAACAGTGCAAGTCTCATTTGGACATTCAGCCTTGTCCAGGTGTTTGTTTTAGAGTATAAATTACAAGTTGATTCATATTTCCTTCCTTTGCTTGATGTGAAAAAGGTGACAGGAATTACAACAATGTAATAATGTTAGGTGAAATCTATGTCCATAAACTTTGCATGAAGTAGATTGGTTGTTCTCAAAGTTTACACCAAGACCTTCACAAAGGATCAAACATCAATGAGCGTGAAGACCCAAGATCCTCTTCAGAAACTGAGCTAAGAAAAAATAGTAAAGGTAATGTTTATTTATGCTATAAATAATTGATTAGATTAAAAGCATTTTATCTCCAATTTTAATGACTTAGTAGAAATACTTGGTACTCTGCCAGTAGGGATCCCAGGTCTTCTCCAGTGTTACTATGTGGGTGAAAAACTGAATGGTTCATCAAATGAAGAATTCTGCATGACTGCACTAGACGGCTTTTTTTCAAACCCAAACACTGACTAAGCACTTGGGAGGAGATATTCTTGGGAAAATTACACAAGAGGTAAAAGTATGATGCAAAATACCTACAAACATTGGGAACCACAACGTCAAGATTTACAAACTGACAAAACAGAAATGATGAACAAGTTGGAACCAGTAAAAAGCCACCAGAAGCTTGCTTGATGTAAATGCCCTGTGGAAGTCACGCCAAGGCTGATACATTCAGTCATCTTCTGGAGTTTAACAAAGTAAATAATTGCCTTAGTTTATAAAAGTTTTACATTTCTTTGACTCAAAACAAATGGGATATCTCAGTTCCCTAATAATCAGGTCACTGAAAGATTTGGAAACAAAAGGAACAAAGCCTGGGGAGGAAGCTCCTCACAGCCTGGTAACTGGACCGACTCCTTCATCAGCCAGAGATCAGAGTCTTTGATCAGCTCTGATCAGTTATCAGGAGGTGATCCATCCATCCTACCTCCAGTGGTCACTGGGTGAGAGGTGAAGTACACCCTGTACAGGTTGTTAGTTTATCACAAGGCTACACAGAGAATAGGCAACCATGAACACACACTTATACTTAAGGGCAATTTAGAAAGACCAGCTAACGTAACAGTGATGTTTTTGGGCTATGGGAGGAAGGTGGAGTAACAGGAGAGAACCCACATATGCACAGAGAGAACATGCAAAAAGACCCGAGGCCAGGATCTGAACCCAGGACCTTCTTGCTTCTAGGCAACAGTGCGACCAACTGTTGATTTCAAAGTTGCGACCTGGAGCTCATGCTTTTGTCCTTTATGCTTCACAGTCATTGAAAGAAAATCAAATCTGGTTAAAATCAGAGACAACAGGTTAATTCTCCAAGGGAACTGTTAGTTGTTAAAATAATCTAAATGATTGTACAGAAAATAGTTTTATAGAACAGTAAAGAGGACAAACTGATTATCTCTCATGAATGTTAGTATTTTATTTGTCTTGATAACAGGTGAGTCAATGCCTGAGCTGCCTCTCCTGCTCTGCTTCCACAGCCACAGTTACTTTAACTCCACTGTGGTACCTAACAACCAGTCCATGTCTACCACAAACATAACAGGCTTTTTGTTTTTAATGAGTCTGTGCATCAACTCTAATGTGAGCTTGTGAAAACCAGCAATGAAATAAATACTAGTGTTAATCATTAGAACTTTCTCCTGCTCACGCTGGTCAAATCAACATCTGCTCCACATCAGCCTGTTATATCACTTCAAACTCACACTCTCACTCTCTGCGAACTCTTTGCAATGCGCAAGACTCATCAGCTGGAAAGGAAACACAGTTGTTGATACACTACTGACACCAATAAGACAAATCCAAAACCTGTTCAGGAAATGTGTCCCAGAAACACGCGGAAACATTGCCAAGTTATTTGAGTCCCCAGGTTCTTGTTGTACTTTGTTTGCAGAGCACCTTTCTTTCTCTCTGCTACAGGACCATTATCAGAGTTCTCATCGTTCTAATTCAAAAATCAGGGCACATTCTTTTGTTTTCATATCAGTTCAAGTCTGTATACTCCCTGTCTGATTAAAGGCTCTGCAAACCATCTTACTCTTTCTTACTTGTTCTTCCATGCATTGTCTTCTGACCTTCTGGGGTGTTTTGTTTGTAACCAAAATCAGAAAGTCTTCCTGAATGCCGTCTGATGTCATCAAAAGTTGCTTGAATAGTTCAACGTTTTTATCCACTCTAATATTGCTGCGCTATACTGAGAAGTACTGAAAGATTCTTCAAAATTCTGAGAATGTGTCTCTCATTAAATCAGTCCTACACATTGCACTGCACAACAGTAGCTTATACACACTCCTTTGGTATTTGTGTGCACAGAAGCAAAGTAACACTTTAGCTTGTATTGTCTATAGTTCTTTACCTGATCACAAGAGCACAATTCTTAGTGAATCCCACTGGTACTCTGACTAGCAGGTGGGGAGGTTTTAAAGTATTTTTCAGATTTACACACTGGGTTAACATGCTCCAGTACAGAACATTCTGCTGTACTGATGGCCGACAAGCTCTAGGTAGAAAGTGTACTGACCAAAGAAAATAGTTCTGAGATTCTGTTAGATTGCAGTGATGATAGACATGTTTACTTGTGTCATCTCTGCTACGAATCTGGGTAAAAGCATAAAATTCATATCTGAGGTGGTGCAGAGGTGCGTGCTATTTTTTTTTCTCTCAGCATTGAAAGCCTGAGCCAGTATATTTGTGATGATTGCTGTTTATGTAACATCTACTTCATTTAATTTTTTTTTCCTTCTAGATTGCTCAAGGTCAGTCAGCAAAGAGATGCTGTACATTGCATGTTGAGTTCTTACGTAACCGTGGTGTTGCTCAGACACTCTCCTTCTCTTTCTTTTCCTCTCCAGGATTCAGTTGGATTTAATGTATGCAGCAGAAGTTCTCCAGCTTCTAATCCTCAAAAAAGCAGAACGCGACCAACACATGTCTAGCAAGAAGGTCTGTATCGCTCTCATTGTGTACTGTATTGCTTATACGTAGGTTCTGCTCAAAAATTCTTGCAATCATGATCCTTATTAATAAAAATAGATAAGAAATAGATCATCTTTAAAAAAAAACGATCTCTGAACATGAAAGGGGATGATGAAGTTGTGATTAAGGTAGTCCAGCAGAGAGGAAGCGCAGAGTGGAAGTGCCATGTCCAGAAGTGTTCATGTAATGTCTGGTTTTAGGTTTCTGGAACAAGTTGATGTGGTCAGCTGTGTTGTTATAAAAACCCGTCAGTTTATGATTATGAAAGATTGGATGTTAGCTTATACATGTTTGACAATGTTGTTGACTGAAGTTGCTGCGTCTTCGAGCCAATACTAAGTACAACAGAGAAATGATCATCTAACAATTTCGGCACTATTTTTAGGAAGCTACAGCATTTTGATTAATGTACCATGAGCTGAGGATGCAATTTAAAAAACATCTACAGTTAATATTATGTAAAGGTTTGATGATTTAAATATAGATAAACCACAGAACATGAACAGTTTTACGTGTACTCAGATGTCAAAGTACAGGCCAACCGTAAGAAAGAGGAAGCATTTCGACTTTTATGTAAGCACTAAGAATCACATGGATGACCCTGAAAAAGCTGGTTGTTACAAGGCTGTAAATATTCAAATTTGGTGAAAGAGCAAAATATTTTTCTCACAGACACATACAATGCTTTCTTATATGAGTAGGCTTAAGGAGAAGTTGTTTTTGTACAATCACTCAACTTGAAAACTGGAGAATTCCTGGTCTCAGACACATCCTACTCCACACTGACACCTGTTTCCTATGTACACACTTGTGGCAAGCGGCAGCATGTGGTTACACCACAAGCATGTTTACTTGTTGGTTTGTGATTCAAGAATGGAGGAAAAGAAATGTTTGCCAGAAAAAGCCTCTTCCTATGCAGATGACTTGGAAATATATTTACAAGGCTGGAGAAAGGAGGCAATGTTGTTGAGTCATGGTTGAGTCAGAGCAGATATGATGACACTTCTAATGGGATTGCGGTGCGAATGAAACTCAAACACACTCATCTACACAAACTAGTCTGCAGCATTACAGAGGAGCAGCTGGAGGGAACAAGCACAGGAGCTTTTGGAGCCTTTCAGCTTTAGCTGCTGTGTGTTCTTGGACCTTTTTATGGCAGCTGTTTATTGCTAGTAAGTACCTTCAGATTTCATGTTGCTTGTTGCTCATGTATTTAGGGTGAAGTCCTGACTGTAACTTAGTTTTATTTTCATGAATTCAGGAGAAGCATTTTCTGCATTGTGTGGTGATGTTAAAAAAATCTAATGACAAAAATGCTCATTCTTAGTGACTTTATCAAGAACTGGTCAAATAATTTTTATACTTTACTTTAGTTCCCCCTAAATGTATTGGAACTGTGGAGTCAAAGTCTTTATTTGTGTTTAAACTATTGGCAATCACCTGAAAGATGAGACAATAAGCCAACATTTCATCGTTTAATTTCAGCCGTTTACATCCAGATCTTATATATCACTTAGAAGATAGCAACATCATCTTTGTCACTTCAATCCTTAATGTTCGTCTATCACATTTCATTTTAATTAACAGATTGAAGCTTCTGGTTGTAATGTGACAGAAAGTGCTAATGTTGACTGGGTGTGAATACTTCTTCCAGGCTGAATTGAGGACACATTGCTGTGGGTTTTGTCTTTCCTGAGTGGTGTGTTCTGTGAGCATAAAGAGGGACAGGTTGACTCCTTAACTTTCCTTTGAAACAGATTTCTGTTATCTGGAGCGGATGTGGGCAGAGTTCTCCCAAAAAAAAAAACTTACTAAGATCTTTCAAATACATACTGGTATCACAAGTAGATGTGCTTAAAGGCCCAGCATGGTCAGAATGGGGGTGACCTGTTGATGTGTGGTCATGTGGTCGCTGGTCCTTTGTTTTCACACTTCAAGGTCCACGAGACACGCTGAACCGAGCTCATGTGTCATGGAGTTTTGTCACATGTGTGGTTTACAGCCATACAGTAAACACACGTCATGACAGAGAGGAACAAATATTTCAAGTTCACAAGTTCAGAGGAGGAAGGAATAATAATTTATAATCTGCAACATCTCATTTTATTTTTTATGTTATTGAAAAAATAAAGAAGGGAAGTCATTGGGGAACGTTCACCCGTTACATTGGACCAACCCAGCCAGAGGAGTTTAGTGTTTTGGTCCAACATTGGATACAATTGCTCCTCAGAACTATCCATCACGCAGTAGTTACATGGCCAGACCATCCAGAGCCCCTGAGATTATCATCCCTCCTGCAGGATCAAACTTAGTAAAGGTGCTCCTTGTTTATTAATTCCTTCAGACATTGTTGATAATAGTGCATAATCTTAGATTATCGTGAAATCAATACTGGAATCACTTTTTTAAGTTGCCTTGAATATAACACCTGCTTACAAACTGTACATCTGCTTTGCCCAGTTAACTGAACACGTCGTCACTCTTTGTTCTGCCAGAGCTACAGCGTTTTAGAAATGCTGAGAAGACTAGGTGTGGTTCTGCTTTAACCTTTGACCTGCACTGTGTCAACGAGACATTCAAAGGAACTTTATCTCTACCTTCAGAAACATTATTGCAAACCTTTATCTGGTTGTGCTGATAGGAATGAACCAGGTTGTTGTTGGGAGTTGAGTTTGTCATAGTTACAGTCCTAAATTAACAGGCACACACCTGTGAGAGTGTGGTGTTAATTAGTGTGTGAGCAGAGGCCTCGTTCTGTCAGAGGTTGAATCGCTGCAGGAGGTAAACTGGAGTTCGGCTTCATTAGTGAGGAAACTAGTCCCTGTTCAGGTGACTCTCTGTCTTGAGTAATTGCATTAACACACACACACACACACACACACACATTGGTAAAGGTCCAACTCATATGTGTGTGAGTCCATGTGTGCTTGTGGCCATGCATCACACTCTTTAATTGGAGCTCCTGCTCTCACCTCTTCTGAGAGAGCAGCTGTTTATGTCCACTGTTGTGTCCTACATTTTATGCAACTGTTCCCAATCGCTGTGTTTGCTGACAGAGGCAAAGCTTTTCAAAAACATGATTGTACTTTAGCTTAGAGCTAAATCTAGGGGTATATTAAAAGATATGTGCATCTCAAGGATATTCATGCTTAGCAAAATTTTGTTGAATAAGTTGAACAGAAAAAAAGAAACCTACAGATCCTACAGATCTCAGTTTACCAGTTGATCAACATTCCCACCCTGATCTATGGCCACAAGCTCTGGGTAGTGACCGGAAGAACGAGATCCTGGATGCAAGTGGCCAACATATGTTTCCTTCCATGGGGGTGAGCTCTCTGCCTTAAGGACAGGGTGAGAAGCTCTGTCATCCTGGAGGGACTCAGGGTGGAGCTGCTACTCCTTCATGACGAGAGGAATGGACATCTGGTTAGGATAACTCCAAAACACCTCCCTGATGAAGTCTTTTGGACATGTCCCACCAGGAGGAGACCCAGAGGAAGACCTAGGATACATTGGCCTAGGATTGTCGGGGGAGGCCGGGGGGCGTTAACCTGGAAAAGCTGGTCTTAAGGGCTGTGGAGAAGAAAGTCTAAGTCTATCTGCTTAGATGGCTTCATCCATTACTTCAGCCTGGATGGATGGATGGATGGATGGATGGATGGATGGATGGATGGATGGATGGATGGATGGATGGATGGATGGATGGATGGATGGATGGATGGGATAGAATCCTTTTTGTGACCCTCACTGTCTGTTGGGTTCATTTTCACAAAGGGGTCCAAAACTGGGTGGTTCAGGTCATTTCCCTGCTGATGCTGGGAGAGTGCTACTCCATGGGTGTTGGTGCCTCACTCATCTGGAAACCCAGATCTCTTTACAGACAAAACTTTTCACATACTTGTTTATAGTTAAATAAAAAGTCACCAGTTATGTGTTCACTTATCAGTAATTTATGTCCTGCCTACGGACAACAGACCCTATTGACCCAATCATCTTCAAACTGTCTTGGCTGGCAGGAAGTTTGTCCTGCATTTTCATTTTTTTAGATAGTGACTTTCTAGGATAACGTTGCATGCACGTGAAAGCAGATTAGTAAAAAAAAAAAAAAAAAAAAAAGAAAAAACATAAAAATATGTTTCAAACACAGTCCAAACTCAACCGAGATTTCTTGGACAGCACTCTGAAACCAGTAAGTATCTATTATAAAATTCTTGGCACCCACTTTCTGCATATTTTTCTTCATATTTGGGCTTATTCCATGTTAATGTTAAGAACTCCAGTACCTCTGACCTCTGACTTTCATGTGTTTGATGGCTGTGTAGATAAAACCTGAATCTGCTCCTGATCTGGCTACACTGGTCTGTACGGCTACACCTCTGATCCGTGTGGGGCAATAATGAGGCTCATACCCCACAGGGAGGGTGTGAGAACCGCATCCGCTTTCCCACAATGTCTTGTGTGTACAGAAAGGAGGGAGCCAAGGCTGTGACTCGGACACAACCTCTCTTTGCCTTTGGCATCGCCATGGAGACGGAGGCTCTTTATATAGAGTCCGTTGGCTGCTCTCATTCTCCTGCTGCTTATCATTCAGTTCGTATGTTTGAGGCTAACGGAGCACAGTTTAGGAGCTGCAACTTGTTCCAATGCAGAGCTAGAACGGTTTTAGATGTGGCTCGAAGGGCAGAGCAAGGCACTAACCCCACCAGGGTTGTCCAGTACAAATCTGCATAGAGTCAAAAATGTGAGCGTTAAATCAGCTGCTTTCCTACGTTCCCCTGGTCTTCCCTCTCAGTTCTCATCCTTCCGGGGTTTCTGGGATCCTGGCCAGGTGCCTGGGAAAACAGTTTCACTCACACACACACAAAACTTGCAGGAAAACATTCTTCTGCCTAGAGGGGCAAATTGTGCTCTCTGAAGTCAAGGAAATGACACAGAGTGGGAATGGACACACACACACACACACACAC